CTAATACAGTGGTACCTCGGTATACGTCGTTCATTCGTTCCAGAAGGTAGGACTTATACCGAAAATGACATATACCAAATAATTTTTCCCATAAGAAATAAAGGGAAAATAAATAATCCGTTCCAGAGAATAAGAAATTATATTTTATATGGCATATTATACATTAATGGGGTTGTATAAAATAATTTAGACACTACTTATTACTAAAATGCATACATAAATGTGAATAAAAATTAAATTTAACATCACTTTACCTTGCTGAGAGCAGTTGATAGCCTACGAGGATGGTGGTGAGGAAGGGGAGGAGACGTGAACGGGGTAAACGCGGATACGCGGTGACTCTTTCCAACCCATACAAGTTCTAGCAAGCGCGTCGTATCCCAAGCAAGACGTCGTATCCCAAGACATTTTTAAATCCTTTATATTAAGTTCACTTGCGTGCTTGCTTGCTTGCTTACGACCGTGCAAATCTTTCGGTCGTTTTTTAGCCCACTTCCCGTGATCCAATCGAGCTGACATTTTGCACACAAACTCGTTGTGCGAGACAATTAATGTTCGTGAAATTTTTTTTCCAAAATTTTACACTGTTTAGGGAAAACTAATTAAATATTTAATTACCAATTGCTTAATACTGGCAGACAATCATCTGACCCATAGGTGGCAGCCATCTCAAGCCAGAGGACGAGAGGACTCTAGCCGCCACGCATATAAAGGATTTAGAGTGAAAAACTTTGTTTTTTCGGGTTAATTTTTTTTCACGTCAAAACACGACGTATACCAAATTCGAGGTATTCCAAAGCAGTCGTATACTAAGGTATGACTGTAGCTGAATGGGCTTTACCTGGTTGAATAAAACAAAATATTTGCATTGTATTCATTGATTTTGAGTGATTTGCTTACCTCTCTTCTTACTTTGTACTCCTATCGTGTTTTTGTATCGTTTGTTGTTGTAACTTCCTGACCCCGTGACCCTCCTGGACACCTGTAAAAAAAAGCTTTGTAGCTCATCAGATGTCTCCAGGATGAATACAAATTCTGATATCGATGCACAGTTTGTCGGGGGTCTGTTATTCCTCTTGTTCCTTTGAACAGTTTCGTAACCTAAGTAGGATTGTCCTACCTCTGAAGTTTGCAGCTTTACTCGCCATGCTTCGTAACAATATAGTTTTCCGATGCCTTGTCTTGCGGTAGTTGTATTTGATACATTTCTTACATGGCTCTTATTCCCCGACTCGCAAACACCTGGATGCATTTGACCTTAATGCAGGTGCCGTTATTGTGCAATAGCAGTTCGATCGCAATTGCTTTTGGGTTTGTTGAATTTGTTGCCTTTTGATCTTAGGCCCACGTCAGTTGATTTCGAGCACAAGCACAATACGCTCTGTGGTTACCTGCATTCTTCTGTGTCTCGAGACCTGTCGGCTGCACCGCGACGTTTTATACATCATTTTCTCTGCATTGTTTGCCTGATGCTCTTACCGAAAGACGGTGAAAAAAAAGAGGGGCGGATATGAATGTATATTGAACTTATTTCGCACTGCACGTAGCCAACCGTGCTCATCAGAGAGGGACAATACGTGGAAATTCAACTACTTCTAACGGAAAATGGTACCGATCACAACACTACTGTAGATATACTCTGGAGGACCAATCCTGCCCTACCCCCTTCAACAAACCGCATTGACGATCGTGGTGAAGTTTCACCGACATTGCATCGGGAGCCCATTATTTGTTGGTAGATTGAGAATGGCTGGAATAGTTGAGTACATTTATGTAGCATCCATAAGAGGGTTTTTTGGGGGGTTAGATCGCGTAAATATAAATGTGTCGTTAAACCCGCCACCACCCGACACAGCTAATTAGTAACGCTTGTCACGTAAACAAAACGTGCCAATTCGTTACTAGTTCAGCACGCAGGCTGTGTGTTGGAGAGTAAACCCGCAGCATTTATGATTCGAGCACGACTTTTTGCCGGTAAATACAATTATGTTTCATGATTGCACATGAACAACATGTGCATACATCTGATCGTAATACATTCATTACATGTGAAAATCACCTACAATGTACGTTATTAATTTTAATTTCATGGAGCAAAAGTACATGTTTGTATTATATTCTGATAGAATATTATTTCTATAAATTAGTAAACGTTGTATTCTGCCTGCCTATTTAAAGTTTCAAATACTGACTCCTGAAGAAGATAACTTCGTATAAACTGCAAGCGTTCCCTTCCCTCTTAAGCGATTAATCATAATTTCAAAGAATTAAAATATTTCTGTATTAAGTTACTTTAAATACCTGCTCAGCATCTCATTTTTCCCCCAGTGCCATCACTCGGGTGTTCAGTGAGGGTTATATCCCGCAGTGAATATTGAAATACACCACCCCCCAAAATAGGATCACTACTCTATTACACTAACTCTTAAGACACGTGCGATTAATATCAACTCGACGGTTTCCCATTGCTATTGACACTTTTCTCCCCAATCTTCCCATTTCCTGGCTGTACTCAACAGTAAAGTTGTATTCAACATCACCTGGCACAGCACAGTACTGCAGTTACCAATCTATTCATGCAATCGACTTAAAATCAAGTCAACATTTCTTCCAATGGGACGGCACTAGTTGCCATTGATGGCTCTAAGCCGGTGGTGGAAATTCGACATTTACATGGCATCGGTCAGTCTCTCTCCAGAGTAAGACTACTCTTGCTTTTATTTTCTACAAAGAGGTACTAATTCAATTGACCATAATAATAGGGTGTTTCCCCTTTTTTCTGGCAACAAAACTGGAACCTTTATACAAGGATTCATGTCTGTATTAACCACAATACTTGCAGTCAAAATGCAAACAAAAAACACACTATGATAATATATGCATTGTCCTTGAAACTGATTGGTCCACACCAAGGAATGGCTTTCTTTTGAGCCTCGACCCAATTGGTGCTCGACCAGAGGACGCCAAAAGGCGTACAGCTCAAAGACAATGCACTATCAAAGTAATGAGGGCTCGGGGTGAGCATCTACATCATTATACCTCCTTTGCCAGTACCACAATATAATAGGGTGTTTCCCCCTTTTTTCTGGCAACAAAACTGAAATCTTTTTACAAGGATTAATTTCTGAGTTAACCACAATACTTGTAGTCAAAATGCAAAGAAAAAACATACTATGATTATATATGCAGGATCAATTGACCCTGTTAAAATGATGGGCCGAGTCAAACCTCTGCATGACCAGAATATGAACAAATGAGTTTCTGACTGAGTCATGCACTTTAACCATCGTGCCACCTGATCGAAAATAAGACTAGTTTAAAATACTTGATTATAAAATGCTTCCTGATTTAAAGCACACTTCATTAGAATTTTTAATTAATCTCATCACCAGCATAATTATAACAAAGGACCACATCGAGTTACACTTAAGAACACTAGTAGTAGTAGTACTGGATTTCAAATGGGATTTTATTGGCATTAGAACGCCTACAATCCAGGCTGTTCAACATGGATCACTTTACCGGAAGACTGAGATATGTTACCGTTACGTAACAAAACTCTAGAAATATGTACCCAGTCCGTATTCATGTATACAAAATATAAATTATATGTACATTTGTAACTAATGAGACAAACTCAATTTTACTTGCAGTACATCGCACAGTTGCGTTCTTACCATAGGAATCTCAGTGCATGGTTAAATTTATGCTTGTGGGACATATCAATTTGTCACACATATGCTGGTAAACCACGGGGTATAAAAACAGATATCATGCATGAGCGAACTTTAAATTATGCTGGAAACATTGAGATATATCCTTAGTATATAATTCGTATTAAGAGCATCCATTATTAACATAAGGCAGCAACTAAAGTGCACAATGCTGAGGCCTTGAATAATTTTCAAACACTTACAACGTTCTAGTTTATATATGTTGATTGGTTTATGTATTTTTTATTCGATGCCATTCCCAGTATCTGTTTTGCAAAGACCTTCTTAAAGTTTAGGGATACATGATTCCCTTCTTCCACAACTTTATAGAATTTTGACTGGAGGATTCAAGGTCACAATTCACAAATAAGTTTTTTTGCCATTGTCTAGAAGGTATTAACCTATCACTTCTAAAGTATTATAAAACATAATCAATTAAAAATGTCGAATTTTCTGCATGTCTCATAAGCATAAAAATATATTTGAATTCACCAATCACTGTATGGTTACATCTATATTTAAATTTGAAACACTTGGTTAATTTCATGTTATTAAAGCAAGCTATTTTCTTATTTTGAATTTCGACTGCACCAGTAGCACGCATTAGAAGTCTCTCAGGAACGATGTGGCAGACTTCAACATTTACATAGTACGGCACGCATTGGTAACCACACACAGAAATAAGTGGCCTCAAACGAGGTCAAGAGCAATGTGTTGCTGACCACCGTACTTGATTTCCCAGGCACATGACATTCAACAATTTAAATCCATAAGTTTCGTCCACTGGCTGTGGTAGCTGTGTTGATGGATAAAATAAACTGTGCTTATACACTTTCTGATAAGCAGAGCACTGCATTAGCTGAACAGTTTATAAACTGCTTGAAACAACCCAACCCTAGATTTAGATCACGATGTTGTCTTTTCAGAGCTCAGAGACCAAGGTGCGCTTATGTAGTCACGCGGTGCACTAAAAACAAATGAACGATCTTCGTCATTCTGCCTTCTTGAATAGACAATGAATTGGCAAATCATGAGAGCACTTGTCTGTAATGTGTTTAAAAAATAGCTGTAAACAAATAAATTTTCGCAATAACATATAGCAAATAAGCCATATATTTTAAGAATCTGCTATCACAATTATATATGCTTATCAAGCAAGATATATTGAACTATGAGCATACCCCTTTATTCAAAACAGTGTACATAGCCTACTGTCCTGATTGTGTATGAAAATGTTGCATGTGGAATGATACCCAAGTTTAATTTCAAAAATAGTACACCAATGGAAACCTGCACTTGTAATGTTTTATTTTTTTAATCATTTTCAACTAAACGCACTATTAAATATGTACTCTAGCTCTACTCTTACAGATGTTCCGTCATTGTGTAACAATATTAACAGGAAATGTAAAAAAAAGCCTCAATACAGTAATAAACAACGTAATAACTTTAAAGAGTGCTGCTATTGTACATGCAATAACGTTTTTTTTATCTTACAAATTTGTACTTTTTAAACAATCCTAAAAAACTATAAAGCACTGTTTTAGTTTAAGAAAAGAAGTACGGTAGCTTAAAAATTGTTGATGTTACAGACTCCATGTAAACAATGCGTTTTTCAAAAAATGAGCTGTGCACTTATTGTATTAACCAAGGGGCCAAAGGTTTCAAACCACAACAACAAAATGCTTTCCCACATTAGAAGTTTGGCCACAACAATATCATCTGTAACAGTTCATCTTTACGCACAATTCCAGTCTGTTGTGCTGACCATGAACAAACAAAAACTGCATCCAAACAAACAGGATTTAAAGTTACTTCTTTGCCAACACTGCCTAAATCAGTGATTATAAAATAAGGAGTCCTTCTTGCAGACCACCACAAGCGGTCTTTACCGCTTATTATTATTTTTCTTCTGCCACTTGACCACTTTCCTCCTCTTCAGGATCATCTCGTAGAGCTTATCAAGTCCCTCGTAGACACCCTGTCCTGTGACAGCGCACACGGGCTGTATGTGCCACAGTATGGTGGGACCCAGATCAGTCAGGGTTAGAAGCTTCTCCAGCTGATGAGGGGGCAAGGCATCGGGTAGGTCCTGCTTGTTGGCAACGACAAGGAATGGCACACCCTGGCACTCTGGCGTCCGTGCGATGCGATGCAGCTCCGTGCGGGCCTCCTCGAGACGCTCAGGGTCGGACGCGTCCGTGACAAACACGATGCCGTCGGCGCAGCGTGTGTACGATTTCCAGAGTGGCCGCACCTTCTCCTGGCCGCCAACATCCCAAAAGTGGAAGTTGGCCACCCTGCCCTGTCCCAGGGTTACACGCAGCCGCTCCGTGTTGAAGCCGATGGTCGGTGCCGTGTGCACAAAATCATGGAGCTTAAGGCGGCAGAGCAAAGTAGTCTTCCCTGCAGAGTCCAGGCCAATTATGGCCACATGCAGCGGCTGGAAGCTTGGGAAGTTTGCCAGCACTGGGTTATCGCCTGAAAGACCATTCCCCATGGCCGTGACAGTCGTTCACTCCCACTCCTGGGAAGGGAGAAGGCAAAAAGGGAAACATTTTGATGTGAAATTAAACTCTCCATATTTTCTCTATTCAACAAATGTCTATGCCATGGACATGAGGGCTTGAATAATGGTAATAAATATTAAAGAGAAATTTTCATAAATTATGGGGAGTTCTAAAATCTAGAACATGAACAACAGCAGCTATATGGCCACATCGTATTTGAGGTCATCCTTGACAGGTTTTTGGTAGATTCCATCTGGAATCAGCTGCTGCTGCCAGGAAAGGAGCCATTCCAAACACGGAACGGCTGCAAAAACACAAATGAAAGTGTTGCTTTGTTTCCTAAGTTCAACACTGAAATTTTACAAGATGTCAGGAGTACAGACATCGGGTTGTGCAATCAGGACATCTCGTTTACACAGATGTGTCCGTTTACAATTTTAAGGGTGAGAACAGCACTCCAAATCTTGTTTTTAAAAGCTTGCTTGGTCAACAAAACTTAGGGCTGTCACTATGGACTTTAGACCTACCCACGTGGTCAACACTCGTCACTCAGGCTGCCAGTATTTGCTCTACCTCCCCCGAGCACTTCCCCACTAACCACTCTGTAAGATTGTTGTTAACAGAACATTTTAGTTTATGAGTTGACTTCCTTTGTTGGAAAATACAATAACCTTTATCCAGCTAAAGAGCTCATTGGCAAACCAATGTCTGTTATGCTTAGGGGCAAAATGTAGGGGCACACTAGCCGTCTTATTTAACAAGTGAGAAATGTTTACTCACAGCAAAGAGATCATAACCATTATCAATCTCAAACTGTCTAATAATCTAAGCTTATTATCCAGTTTACACAGAGCGCACTTAACGGTTATACAGGAATAAAATTCCTATTTTTATAATCTAGGCCAGGATATAACAATGCAGGGTTACATTGTGGGCAGCAACGGGCAGTGAAACACAATTCATTGTTTTGTACTAAGCTTACAAGTCTATGCTCCCCACCTTCACCAACCCCACACTGACCAGTATGGTGAAATATGGTCAAATAACCACCACGACCTGCATGAACATTGCTCATACTACAGTGGCTTGGCAAAATACTTTTTTTTCAGGTCCAGCATTTATTAAGAAGACTTCGTTGTTCACTAAAACGATGTCACCTGGAGTTGGAACATATGATTACAAACATACATTGAGGATCCAATCCACACACAGGTCAAACAAAAAAGACAACATTTTCCAGCTGGCCTTTTAGAAGACGACCTAGTATAATGCCACTGGATGAAAATAGCAGCTACAAAGATAGGCCAGTGTTTAGACGAGTCACAAGGGAGATATTTCATCAAGGGCCATGGCATCAAACCGAAGCACAGTAACACCATTCACGATTAAATGCATGGGGTTTATCCAATCTGCATGCGTTATTTTTCGGTACAACAACGCAGGGCATTGTGCACTCTTTCGGTTACACGAGGAACCCATGCGGGACAGGACTTGGCATAGAGCCCGGAGTTTGTACACATCTGTGCCGAGTACAACTCGACTCCACGGGGCGTCTGCTTGAAAGAAAGGAAGCATTAACAGGGAAGACCCCGATGAACAAAGACAATATCCCAACATCGCAAGTGAGACCCTTTCTGTATAAATGTACGTGTTTCATATCCAATCGCCAAAGCATTCTCAAAATAATATCCCGAGCCCCTTGGCAACCTGACTGTCCTGTTTGTTCGCAAGGTGCCCTCCCTAGGGGGGCATGTTGGTGCCTTTGGAATAGATCTCATTAGGACATTATCTCTCCGAGCTGAAAAGACATCTGCTCTGCCTTGTGATAGATCTCCTCGGCCAATAGCGCAACCTCAGGGCGCCCTGTCAACAACACGTCAAACTCAGAGGTTATCCATAAGAGTTTTTTTTTGTGGGTTAAATCGCATAAATATATGTGTCGTTAAACCCGCCACCACCCAACACAGCCAACTAGTAAGGGTTGTCACGTAAACAGAACGTGGTCAATTCGTCACTAGTACGGCACACTGGTGTGTTGGAGAGCCAAGCCACAACATTTACAATCCGAGTACGTTTCGCCAGTGATTACAACCAGCTTCATCAGGCGACAGCCAGATTTGTCAGCAAGGCAAATCGTGGCCCCGAGCTAGAGTACAAATATATCAATAGAAATCCGTGTTCCGTATTCACCTATTCTGCCTTGCCAAGGTCCTCTAGGAGTCGAGGGGAATCTCCCCGGGGCCACCAGACGAGACTCTGTTGTCACCTGGGGATGAGTGAAGCCATCAGCTCACCACACATCCACCACACTAACACCTCGAAAACATCATTTCACGTGTGTGTGCACCGCACATGCGGCAGCACGATCAGAAATACATCATTGATGAAGATGATGGTGTTGGTGGTAGTCAGAAACACTCCTGTAATTGTAATGGTGACAACCACAGCAACGAAGTTGATGCAGAGCAGCACTGGGGGTGGAATGGAGAAGATGTGAGCGTGGCCGTGTCCAGCAGTGTCACCGCGTGAGCCACAGACCGTGAGCATATGCCAATGTGCTATTGTGTACTACCAATGTACCCCTTATTATGCCAATCAATCGTAACAGATGACTACACGTGGGATGTCACTCTACGCCCTATCTCACAGCATACAGGTACAGAGTGTACACAGACACATCCCACGTGTACGGGTCTTGGTGTGCCCTAAAGTGCACGGGCTATACGTGGACATTTCAGACTACGGTAGGCCGAATTTCTTTCGCACCGTACGTAGACGCAAGTACTGCACGTGTCAAGTCGTACATGCACGTATGTCGGTGTAAATTAAAGCAATTATGGCAGCTAGAAGCACCGCTACGCATTGTGTGTCCACACGTGCGCATGTCAGCGTGCGCGTTCATCCACGCGACTCTTACGCGTGTGCGCAACACGTTGCTATAAGCCCCTAGGCGTGTGCATGAGAAGCTAACAGCACTTGCCCCTACTACAGCCTGTCCCGTGTACCCTGTGGGGCTGCTTGTTGTGCTGGAACCTACAGCAGGGGAAGGGTGTCCCGGTAGCACGGTGCTCTGGAGAGGAGGATGGTGGTCAGCGAGGCGGGGAGGACATGGAGAGAGATGCTGGTCCCACAGGATCAGGGTGATGATGATGGTGTTGGTGGTATTCTCGCCGTCCCTGCTTTTCCCAAAGGATGAAGATACTGCTGCTGATGATGTCGATATCCTTGAGGTCGCTTCAGGATCGTGGCCAAGATGATGATGATGTCCTTGTTGCTCCTGCGGTAATACTGGGGCAGGAGATGTTGTGAGTGCTTCTGGCAGACGCTCTCTCTCCACCAGCAGGAAGAGTCAAGAACGACTTGCTGGGCTGGTGGTACAGAGATCTTGCTTTGATTGCTGGTGGGGCTGGCCCATGAGTTGAGAGTCGAAGGTTTGCAGGTCCCTGCGGGGTAGTGCGGAAGATGCAGTCCCTGGTGAGCCCACGCTAATTGTTAGAGGCGGTGCCGGGTATTTATAGATGCCCGACGTGTATAGTCGGCGAAATGTGTGCAACAGCAGGGGCTGTGTGTTTTATATTAATCTATATGAGGTGTAGAGGATAATGAATAAGATACTGTGAGCAGATGAGAGGAACTTGGTATGTGTGGGTGCTGTGTGTGTAGTAGCTACTGTGTATATCTATGCTGTACACGTAGGATATGATGTCCCTGCTGTGGGTAAGATATTCTCGGTGCTGTACGTGTAGTAGTAGATAGTGTGTGCGTGTGTAGAAGATAGGTGCTGGGAATGTGTCGTAGACACTGTAGGTGCTGTGTGTACATGAGGTAGGTTCTGTGTGTGTGTGTTAGACACTAGGGGTGTGTTGGACACTAGGGGTGTGTTAGACACTAGGGGTGTGTGTGTGTGTACAGGTGCTCTGTGTGTGTGCAGTAAATACTAGGGGTGTGTATAGATGCCGTGTGTGTGTTAGACACGCGGGATGTGTGTGTGTAGACACTGTCTGTGTGTGTGCTGTGTGTATAGACACTGTCTGTGTGTGTTAGACACTGTGTTAGACAGTCTGTGTGTATAGACACTGTCTGTGTGTGCTGGCTGTGTTAGACACTGTCTGTATGTGTTAGACACTGTGTGTGTTAGACACTGTCTGTGTGTGCTGTCTGTGTTAGACACTGTCTGTGTGTTAGACACTGTGTGTTAGACACTGTCTGTGTGTTAGACACCGTCTGTGTGTGTTAGACACTGTGTGTGTTAGACACTGTGTGTGTGTTAGACACTGTCTGTGTGTGTGCTGTCTGTGTTAGACACTGTGTGTGTGTTAGACACTGTGTGTGTTAGACACTGTGTGTTAGACACTGTGTGTGTATAGACACTGTCTGTGTGTGTGTGCTGTGTGTGTTAGACACCGTCTGTGTGTTAGACACTGTCTGTGTGTTAGACACTGTCTGTGTGTTAGACACTGTCTGTGTGTGTGCTGTCTGTGTTAGACACTGTCTGTGTGTTAGACACTGTGTGTGTTAGACACTGTCTGTGTGTTAGACACTGTGTGTGTGTTAGACACTGTCTGTGCTGTCTGTTAGACACTGTCTGTGTGTTAGACACTGTCTGTGTGTTAGACACTGTGTGTGTGTGTTAGACACTGTGTGTGTGCTAGACACCGTCTGTGTGTATCCGGCAGGCCAAGTGCTCCGGGATGTACCGCCACGCGCTGGCGCCGCAGTGCGCGCGTGCGCCGCGTGCCCCCGCGCTTTTATACCGCGGGGGGGGGGGGGGGGAACGCCCTCCTCGTGACGTCACAGCCAGCGCCGCCTCCCATTGGTCCGCGTGAACGCGTTGCCCCGGTTACCAGACGATTCGATGTTGAGTGGGGGGGTCATTATTACAGTATTATATTATTATATAAAATTATTATAATATTGTTACAATAATATAGCAGAAGTAATAGTAGTGTGACCGTACGATACAGCTTCTCCGATTGATTACGTACGGTGCGAAATAAGTTCAACATAAATACTGTACATGCACCACTGTATTGCCCTACCAATACTCCTGGAACAATGCACGTTTACAATATAAATTACAAACAGCATTATCATATAATACTCCCGCATGTGTGTGTGTGTGTGTATAGTAACAGTATACACTGCTGTATTACTGGGATGCCGTTTCTGGAACGCGAATTTTAAACACATTTCAGTTAAATTTTCACTCCATAAAGACCTCCCGACCATGCCCAGCCCGTTATGTTGAAAGATAAAACAATAAAGTACTGTTCTGCAATTTGACACTCATATAATGGGCCCAGTGTGCCACTGAGACGCTCAGAAGGTTCCTTGGTAAATGTACGGTCGAAAGAACTACATAAGTATAGATGCCATTGTATCACTAATCACTATCACGAATTATTCAATGTCTGTGCCATATGAGACATGCCTTCTAGAACTCATAATCTTGATTGATACTGGAAGAATCCGATGAGCTATGAATCTCTTCTCCACAGATGTCCAGTAAGGGCAGGTCAGAACGTGACAACTTTAAATTCAGCCACCAGAGACTCACAACACCCTGGTGATGGTGACGATGACACCATTGGTCACAGAGTCACTTCAAACATGGTAGGGCCCATTCATGCTCTCTACAGGGGGCTCTGCCAAATGTCAATACGGCAATCAATTTTTCATTGCCCAGCACACATCTTTAGCCATTCAGAATTTGACTTGAGATGGGATCGGTTATTCTCAACATTTGAGCACCACCCGGTTCAACCAAACAGCGGCTAGATTGCTAGAATCAGGATTGTATTCCTCCAGGTTGGCTGAGCCCCATTAGCCACTCAACCGCATCGATGCAACTGGAGTGCCTGGATGAGCCCGCGTGGGATATAACACTGAAACTACAAAAAGCTCTCAACATCCTACTTTCTGTACTGATGCACACGATGGCTCCATCCCTGTGTGGTCCACCAACCCGTACGCCACTATAGTCTCGTTTTTCATCCGGTGTCTTCTCGCTCAAGCAAGCAGAGGGTGACTCTGACCCAGTGGTGGAAAATCCATATTCCCATGGCTGGCTCAGTATTACAATTGGACAGTGATCGTGGTATTGCTCTATTACAATGTACATATGTTGAATTTCTTTTGCACCGTCTGTAGCCAACTTTGCAAATCGGATGTGCAGGGGAATTGATAACAAACTAAAGACAAACATCGGTTCTAAAGAAAATCCTATAATAGTAACACATGCTACTGATTATAGTTATAAAATACCATATCGATATTTTACGTGACAGCTGTCAAATTTCAGTGTGATGTACATTATTTTTATCACTGCATATAATGCTAGTATTTCAGTAAATACGATTACATTGTTTAAAAATTACTATTGTTGCAGTCGTGTCGTTGACATTCTAATGTAAATCATGATTGTCATAAACATCAGCCATGGCCAATCCACTGATAAAGGCCTCCCCAAGCTCCCTCCACCCTCACACATCTGAGACGCAATCCACCTGGCACTTGCACACCAATATAATTAATTATCGTTAACAATTAATTGCATGCAGTACTGCAATGTATATTGTTCATGCAGTGTCTATTGTATCATCACTTATATCAGTGCAATGCTTTTAAAATAAGTTATTTACTGTATTGTATCTAATGATTATTTCAGAATCTGAATATTTATTTATACTGGAGGAATCCGATAAGCTATAAAGCATTTTTTTCACAGATGCCCAGTAGGGGCCCAACCCACACTAAAGAGGCTGTATGCCCTGGGCCAAGATGACCTGTGTTGGAGTTGCTATAAGTTGGCACAGTAGGGCCAAAGGTGGGTGCATCTGCCAGTCATCTCAGTCAACCTATGCTAGCTGGGTCTATCCCGTGATCTACTGCCAGCGAGCCTTCGACACTTCACGTGGCCTCAAAGTGCACCTAGCCTGGCACAAGCGCCTTGGTGACGTCACCGCCACTGAGTGGCGAATGGCGGTTGTTGTTGTGAGCTCACGGATTCCCACGTGCGCGTGGGAATCTGATGCCCTCGAGTGGATCATCTGTGTACTGCACACTTGTGCAACTTTTCACCTTTTTGTGACGTACTTAACTTTTATCAGCAACAAACGTGGACGAAACCAATCTCCACAAGTGTCTCAAATTTTATTTTTTAAATGAATGCATTGTGGATCGATTTACAGAACATCAAGTTATAGTTTTATCTCACATTTGTATACAAGCACAGTACAGTTGGGTTGTTTTCTTCAGAAAACGTGGGGTTTGTGCACTTTAAGACGTATTAATTGCTGTGGAAGATTAGAAATTGATTACATTCCAAGATACATAAATTATACGATTTTTTTTCTTGAGCAAAAGCATGTGCAAACAATCAATCTTTATTTTACGTGCCAATATCGCCTCAATAAAGTAGGAATCAGTGTCCATTACAGCAGAACAGGAATGATACAGGGGGCATAGAGCAACAGGAATGATAAAAGAAACCCACCATGCACTCAGTTGCTAACATCGACTGAGCAGAGTAAATTGCAACCGCGCGCAAAATTAAGTGCAACCGTGTGAAACGAATATCACGAGAAAGTTGAGTGGTAAATACAAATAAAATAAATGGAAAGTAAAGAGACAGTTTTTATTTAACATTTCACTTTTTTATGGGAAGGCAAGTCTGAACAGATGTGTCTTGCACGGACTACAGACTTGAGAGACATACGGCACGTTTCGGACGTCCGGTGGCAGGCGTGGTGCTCCAGATATTTTTTGAGGCTGCCCCCCACCCCACCAACATCAGGTGAAAAATCCTGGGCAAAAAAATCCATGCTTGAAAGAACAAGCATGGTAGGTGCATTCTTAAAAGTATGGTGACAGAAAGAGAAATGCATGATTCAGGAAACAAACGCAACTTCCAGACATATCGATAGTTAAGGAAAGTGGGCTGAGGCTGGACACATCAGGAATACAGATGCTGGAGAATAAATGATATTGGCGAAGGAATGGCTGCCACCAGATGGAGCGATGAAGCCAGCTCATGTGCAAGTGTTGGCTGGATTGTTACATTTCAAAACAGGGACGGATGGTGACGACTTGGGGAGGCTTTCATTCTAGCAGTGAATTCATCATGGTTGCTGATGAGTCGCAAATATATAAGTACAGAAAATAGCACACGTATAATTATATTTCATATGGAAGCTTGATTGCTTAAAAATAAATGAAGTCACCTGCCAATGGATTGTGGCAGAGGCGAGGGAAAGGGACGTTTTGGTGTGTGCGTTGATAACCGGTCATGTGCTTCCGTTAAGCGTGACCGGGCAGGGCCATGGATGGATATATTTCTTGAAACATTTCCAGATGTCTCACGTGTCCTACTGTTGCAATACATGCCTCACATTTATTTACACTGATACGAGTGATAAGCGCGCTGTCAATTACAGTATAAGTGTGATTGTCACACCTACTGCTGGAATTTAATAGAATGTATTTTGAGAGTGTTCGCATTATCCCTATATGTGGACATGTTGTTATTGTTTATTGTGTTGCTATACAATACAATGTAGTGCTTTCATATGATGTACTACATTATAGAATTATATTGTACAGTATTGGTATTATTACAGTGGTGGCTAACATTTGTAGATTGGTTCCCACCAGACCAATATGGAAGTTGCCCTATTGAATGAGGGCAGCAAACAATTTTTACCTCGACAATCCCTTGACATGGAACATCTTATTTGCAAAGGTGTCCAGAGTATTAGACACATACATAGCAAACACATGACATGTATGCAACATGTTTAATCTATAACGTACACAATATGGATTTGTAAAATTAACATCGCAGCCAGTAAAATACAAAACATACTGTACATATATATTTTTTTCTAAATTATTGGCACATGTCAGAAGCAAAACGATTCGCTGACACGTATTGTCTTTGCATGTCTGTCGACATATGATAATAGTTGGTAATATTTGTCTCAGATATTTATGAGGACATCTTTGTCAACTTTAGAAAAAATTTGAAGCTTTAGAGAGACCATTTTTACAGCCAAGAATGGGACAACCAATGCTCACTGTAAGAAGGTGGTGCTTTCTACAATAGGTTGATATTATTTGGGCCTTGGAAATCATCTTAAACTAGTTTTTAAAATCGTAGTGCCCTTGATTGTGGTACAATCCTAACACGAACGGACAATTGCCACATTCTGAGCTGGTCTGCGAAATTACAAAGCAAATGTTGGCTTTATATGCTTCCAATGATACATGTACAGTGAGGGAAAAAAGTATTTGATCCCCTGCTGATTTTGTACGTTTGCCCACTGACAAAGAAATTATCAGTCTATAATTTTAATGGTAGGTTTATTTGAACAATGAGAGACAGAATAACATCAACAAAATTCAGAAAAACGCATGTCAAAAATGTTAGAAATTGATTTGCATTATAATGAGGGAAATAAGTATTTGACCCCTCTGCAAAACATGACTTAGTACTTGGTGGCAAAACCCTTGTTGGCAATCACAGAGGTCAGACGTTTCTTGTAGTTGGCCACCAGGTTTGCACACATCTCAGGAGGGATTTTGTCCCACTCCTCTTTGCAGATCTTCTCCAAGTCATTAAGGTTTCGAGGCTGACGTTTGGCAACTCGAACCTTCAGCTCCCTCCACAGATTTTCTATGGGATTAAGGTCTGGAGACTGGCTAGGCCACTCCAGGATCTTAATGTGCTTCTTCTTGAGCCACTCCTTTGTTGCCTTGGCCGTGTGTTTTGGGTCATTGTCATGCTGGAATACCCATCCACGACCCATTTTCAATGCCCTGGCTGAGGGAAGGAGGTTCTCATCCAAGATTTGACGGTACATGGCCCCGTACATCGTCCCTTTGATGCGGTGAAGTTGTCCTGTCCCCTTAGCAGAAAAACACCTCCAAAGCATAATGTTTCCACCTCCATGTTTGACGGTGGGGATGGTGTTCTTGGGGTCATAGGCAGCATTCCTCCTCCTCCAAACACGGCGAGTTGAGTTGATGCCAAAGAGCTCCATTTTGGTATCATCTGACCACAAAACTTTCACCCAGTTGCCCTCTGAATCATTCAGATGTTCATTGGCAAACTTCAGACGGGCATGTACAGTATATGTGCTTTCTTGAGCAGGGGGACCTTGCGGGCGCTGCAGGATTTCAGTCCTTCACGGCGTAGTGTGTTAGCAACTGTTTTCTTGGTGACTATGGTCCCAGCTGCCTTGAGATCATTGACAAGATCCTCCCGTGTAGTTCTGGGCTGATTTCTCACCGTTCTCATGATCATTGCAACTCCACGAGGTGAGATCTTGCATGGAGCCCCAGGCCGAGGAAGATTGGCAGTTCTTTTGTGTTTCTTCCATTTGCGAATAATCGCACCAACTGTTGTCACCTTCTCACCAAGCTCTTGGCGATGGTCTTGTAGCCCATTCCAGCCTTGTGTAGGTCTACAATCTTGTCCCTGACATCCTTGGAGAGCTCTTTGGTCTTGGCCATGGTGGAGAGTTTGGAATCTGATTGATTGATTTCTTCTGTGAACAGGTGTCTTTTATACAGGTAACAAGCTGAGATTAGGAGCACTCCCTTTAAGAGTGTGCTCCTAATCTCAGCTCATTACCTGTATAAAAGATACCTGGGAGCCAGAAATCTTTATGATTGAGAGGGGATCAAATAGTTATTTCCCTCATTAAAATGCAAATCAATTTATAACATTTTGACGTGCGTTTTTCTGGATTGTGTTGTTGTTATTCTGTCTCTCACTGTTCAAATAAATCTACCATTAAAATTATAGACTGATCATGTCTTTGTCAGTGGGCAAACGTACAAAATCAGCAGGGGATCAAATACTGTTTTCCCTCACTGTATGCAACACTGCTCTTCTAACACATTGTGTGTTCGCTAATGGGCTACCCCAGTATGCATCTGTAAAACCCACTGGTGCAGCAAATAATGTGACTGGTATTGTATCCAAATTACTACCTAATGAAACATAATCAATCTGAGGGAAGAAAAAAAAATTCCTTGAGAAGGGCAATGGCAGCTACCGATGACTGGTCCCATTCAATGGAAGGCAAACTGGTCTTTCACAGCTCTTTATAGTCCATGAAAGCTAAAATAAGTGATTTAAATGTGAATGCACAACAATAACACTGCTGTAAATAATCTTCATTTGTTGCACCTGTTGCGGAATACTTAACATGGCATCCAGATTCAGAATGTGACTCACTTGGTTGACATCTAGCACCTACTGGCCAACCCCTGTTATGTATGGCCCATTGTAATATGTAAGAATATTGCTTTGCTTTACAGTGCTATGCTAAAAATAATGTTCAGCTCATTGTCAAGCCACTGCTAGATGAAGGCCTCTCCATGCTGTTTTGTTCATGGCATTGTTTGACCATGGTTCACCATGCTGATCAGTGCAGGCTGGTGATGGGAAAGCGGACAGGACTGAGTCAGATATCACCTACCGCTGATGCTAACCTTCTCCAAGAATCAACTCAGAGCACAATGCACCAACCATTCCACTCTATCTTCTTGGTTCTTTCGGTAAAGTCACGTAGAAGGGAAGTAATAAAATAATACTTTACCGAAAGAACCAAGAAGATGAATCCCTGCAGTCACGAAAGCTTTAAATCGAAACATTCCACTCTACTTACAGTACTATAAACAGATAAATATTAAACTTGCGTGTATATTTTTGTTTAATGAAATTGGCTGATGTAAATATAAAACCAGTAATATGGAGATGTGATATAACTGTAATTGTAACTAGTTGCTTAGCTCGTGCCCATAATAGCTAATGTGTCATAGTCATGCGAGCATGAGTCACCTTGACTTCCTGGCAGGGCATCTATGCAGTCATTATTCGGGAAACTTCTAGCTGACTCTGACACCTGCTTGTCAGCACAGCTATAAAAGTGACCACTATAGCTGCTCGGGCAGAACACTGCCAGCTGACAGGGGACAAAGCAGTGCTCCAGAGCTCAAGCAAGGTTTTTGCAGCACAGTTTGCAGCAGGACAAGCATGGCTTTGAATGTTTTCTTCCCTCCTATGCATGTCCTGGAGAAAAGACTGTGGCCCGGGTGGCCAATTTTGAGTCTCCCCGGACGAGAAGACAGCATGTTCCAGCAGCTTCAGCGTGAAATGAACAGCGAAATAGAGAGGATGGAGAGAATATTCCAATGGGTTGAACAGCTCAGCAGTCAAATGATCTCCAAAAGTGTCTTTCCTGAGATGCTGCAGCAGCCTCCCATAAGCAGGATCCAGATTGAAGCGCCACAAGAACAGGGAGACGGCTTTGTTGCATGCCTGGACGTGCAGCAGTTCTCCCCGGAAGATCTGGCCGTGAAGGTGTCTGGAGACAAGCTGGTGGTGGCTGGACGGCACGAGGTGAAGAGCGGAGAAGGCAGCAGCGGCAACTACCGTCACAGCTGCCAGGAGTTCCGGGAGGAGATGCAGCTGCCCAGGGACGTGGACCCGCAGAGCGTGAGCTGTAGCATGACCGCCGACGGGAAGCTGAAGATCAAGGCTCAGCGCCGTGCCCTCCCTGCTGCGGGTGAGAGGGTGGTGGCCATTGAGGTGCAGCGTGCCCCTCCTGCCATCGCAGCAGCGGCAGCTGGGAGCCCGGCTGATGGAAGCCCAGCCAAGATCCCCACCAGCGAATAATGCGTGGCAACTTTACCGGCTCATAACCTATCTGGGATTTAAGATAAACTCATAGGATCTAATATGTATATGAGAGTAGACATTTCATGTATGTATACTCTTATATAAATTGAAGCTTTGAAACATAAATCTTATATTTATAGTACGTTTCTGTGTTAAAAGTTAGCGAATGTTTTTGAGTCAACTCAAAAGTGATTGTTTTTTAATTAGTGCAGCACAATAGTTTGCTGTATGCGTTTTAATCTACTTACCATGAAGGTTAATATGTGATTAAATATAACATCAATGATACATAATTGTCTTCAATTATGAAATGTCTGTATTGATGCAATTTACAGTATTCAATATTATGCAATTTTATATAATACAGTAATTGTCAATTATACATTTCCACAAGGGGAAATTATAAAGTATATATTAAGAAAGCGGAAATTCAATCAGCCAATTTACGGATGCATATGCATTTTGTGTACAGTATTTTTAAACAACTATGAGGTAGCATTCACCAACTGTGAAATGGGACTTGATTTACAAAGCTGTATGATAATTGTCTAGAGTCTCAACTAAGATACCTAACCCTTAAACTAAGACTGCCTAAACTCCCACATGGAGTCCAATTTTTGTCACACATCACCTAAAAAATGCAAATGTCTGTAAATTAGAACAGTGTTTTACAATAAGATGGCGTGTGTGTATGTGCATGCATATTCATTGTTTAACTGTAAAGATATCTTTAAAATTGTATGTTATACTGATGTTATGTTTTACATTGGTTTGGCACGTGTAATAGTTACAATTATCAAGTGTAGATGCAAGGGTTGAAAGTAGTTATAGATAGAAGATGATGCAGTGCAGTTTAAATGTGTAACTGCATACCAACACAACAACAATTTGAAAGCAGTTTCGAGAACTGTCTCTGTAGAGTAATTTTTGTCAGCTCTAAAAAAGGGATAGATCCTTTAGGAATAATCTCCATCTCAACTCCTGTTGACTTTCCCCTCACAACGTCATATTTTAAATGCAACACAATGTCGTGTTCTCTTTACAGCAGATACTTATTTTAACTCTTTAGCTGGTGATTGACGTCGGGCTAAAATTGTGATGCCTGCATTGGTGTGCTTTAAATAAACGTTTTAACTCAAGGTTAATGACTTCGGAGCTTGTATGAGTGACTGTCATTGCACCCACATTCCTCACGTCACTCCCCTTTTGTCAGTGTTGAATCGTTTTGTAAACAACTGACTGACAATGCCTAAAATGTAACAGGACATATATATCTTGACTTCAAGCTTTCGTGACTGCAGGGATTCATATTATTTGGGTCTTTCGGTAAAGCCACGTAGATAGAAAAATATATAAAAATAATAACAATATCTGAAGACGATTGCTTGTGTTGCGATCTATTTACGTGGCTTTACCGAAAGACCCAAAGAATATGAATAGGAAGTATATACTTTGTACAACTGCCTGTTAATTTAGCCCCCGTATATCACGTGCATCAAGCCCGTTTGAAATGCTGTACTGCAGTCATAAGTAAAATGCACCAAAAGCATAAAAACTTCGGTTTTCTAAAATTAATTTGTGCAGCTATTACACCAAAGGCTGCCACTTCAAAATCATATTTCAGAAACCTCACAGATTGTATCTGAATAGCTGAAAACTAAGCACGCAGTGGCTTCGGACACAATTGGTCTTCTGGGTTGCATCCCAGAGTAATGCAGCAACTGCCATACATCCACACACAGCCTGCTCCAACTCTCTCAAATAGCCACTGGGTCTGAGAAAATACTCGTATTATAATGGATTTGTCTCTTCCATAACATATTTATGAAGACTGTCGTAGTCATGCCATGATGCACAAACTGGAGCAGGCTTCATCCTTAGCCATTGGGTTACAGATTAAGGAGAGCGTACAAAATGGACCATTCAAATTCAGTGCTGCACTATTCTGCCACAAGACTTGCTCCCAGTGAGCATTCAATTCTAACCGGATTATTTTGTTTATTTCAAAATACATTTCATAATGCATTACCAAATACTGTACATCCAAATTACGTGAGCGCACATTAAGCAATAGGCAACAAAGAGTTCATACCTCTATTGACGTAGTAAGAGTGCCTCTCGCAACCCTGATGACGCCACAAATCGAATTTCAGTGATTGCAAAAAAACTCTATTCACGAATACATTCCAACACAAAGGCATTGATTTATAGTAGGGGGTATGTTGAAATTAGAGAAATATTATATGCAAATCCAACTGAATGGTAATACAGGGTGTTTCAAAATTATGGACCCGATTTGAAATCGCTATATCTTTGAAATTGGGTCCACATTTGATTTTGTACATGCACTGATGATCAGAAACCACTTACATTTGGGAACCATACAACGGTATTAGGAGGGAAACTACGATTGGAAATTGAAAATTTTAAAGCTTATCCCAGAAAGCCAGAGTTTCCACTACTTTTCATGTGGGTAATAGTTTCGATGTAAATTCATGTTTGAGCACTGATCTGAATTTTGCACGTGAATGTAAAATCGAATGCCTATTAAAGCCTCGTAAGAGAAGATCCCTGCGTATGTTGAATTTCTTTCGCACCGTACATAGCCAACCATGCTCATCGGAGGTGCGTGTTGGGCACACCACGGCTCCTGCCTGCACGATTGATCTAATGCAGGCTTCCAATCCCTGCATGGTTCACCAACCCGACCGCCCGCCTATCCGTGTACAGTACTTTAACACGCACCCGACTAATTAGCAAGACTGTTATTGTTTGCTGATGAAGTTACAATCGTGACTGAAGGACGATTACTTGGTCGGTTTTCCAACATTCCTTGGCTTTGGGGACAGCTACTGCTGAAGAAGGCGCGTAGCTGTGGTTGTACTGATGAGTACATTTTACTGGTAGGAACCTCCTGGTTACATCAGCCCACATGGGATTATTGTCTCCGTCCGTCCGTCGTGCAGGGAGGGGCTAGGTGGGAAGGGGAGGGTGGGGAGGGGCTGGGTGGGGAGGGGAGGGTGGGGAGGGGCTGGGTGGGGAGGATGGGGCTGGGTGGGGGGTGGGAGGGGTGAGGCTGGGTGGGGAGGGGCTGGTCACCCCGTGGTGCCCTTATAAAACTCAACGTTTAACCTACTCACGCCGGCTTGTGCCTGCCCTCACAGTCGGGCATATTTGCGGAATACACCACGCCGCCGTTGACCCTGGCCATTGACCGAGGAACCCAACGTTCCTACCAGCTCCCTCCGCAGGAATGTTCCAGAGCCGGCGAGATTATTCCCCCATTACCCTAGCGGAGAGATATTCTACCACGAAGTCCAGATGACTCGACTGCTTGGTGCATGAAGTCATCGCTATTAATGTTTACTTTGAGGCTATGTGTATCGTAGCTATTATGCACGCGTTTTACTCTGTTTCTAAATAGAAACTTACGTGCAAAATGTATTGAAATAAAATAAGTACAGTACTTTTAACGTCAGATAAAATGAGTTGATGTTTTATTTATTAATTTCCAGAAAGGGTAAAACCTCTCCTTATTTTCCATCATTTGGATACTGGCAAAAGTCCCATAAATAAAACTGCTCTATCCGAGCTATATGTGTTCTGATACCGCCATTATCTTTGCGCTGTTGGCCTTTTGGCGATCTCTGGTCTAACACTGGAGAGGCAAGGCCATAAAGAAGGCTGTCTCTGGTGTAGGCCAATCAGTTTAAAAGACTGCATTTATTATTATCAAAGCCTCTTTGCATATTTTTCCACAAGTATGCGTAGTTAATGCAGACTTGATGCCTTGGAAAGTGTATCTATTTGGTGTTTGAAGATCTTAACACCCGTTTTATTGCCAGAAAGGGTAAAACCTATTATAAGAATAATTAAAATAATAGCTATTATTTTTCATCACTCCTTCACTTATTCAGGTGAAAGTCCAATAAGATGAATGAGATATATTACAGCACAGGCGCTGCTGAAGGGAGCATCATAGTACATTCGTAAACTGCATTTTACGAAAATGTCATATTTGAGAAGATTTATCCCCAAGACAGTCACAACATCATCTAGTTTTTTTTGTCAAGCAGTTACCCAGTCAACATTTGAACGCTGGGCCAACGTTGGGTCAACGGTCCTAACCAAATGCCAACGCAAGTCTATTGGGTGGGTAGTCCCATCACCGCGGAGCAATGGTTAGGAACCACTGCACCACAGAGAATTGTAACTTTAGAATACAGTACCATCCCCTGCTGCGTTTGTCAACTTCAAAACCACACACATATATGGACACATTCAAATTAACAAAGTCTCTAAAGAGTTTATAACCGGTTGTGGTTGCAACAGAGGAACTGTAAGTCAACAGCTTGTTCCACTATTTATAGGTGCACGAAATGTTACACTGCAATTCGGCCTCTCAAATTAGTACTCTATTGTGGCTGCAACTTAGTAATTGCACATTGTTTCCATCCACCGTAAATTAAGGCGCTATATAAATATTCCTTAAGAATGTTGTGCATAATGGATAACTATTTAAAAAAATACCAGTAGAATAACAGTACCTGTAGAGTACTTTAAATTGCACTACTGCTGTACCGTATCGTATTGAGCAGTATGTGATGAATCAGCCAAACAAATTTACAAAATTATTCCCTCCTCAATGCATTTAACAACAATTAAATGTTTAAACAATAGACAGTAGTGCATATTAATGACTACTTGGAATTTATCGCGGTGGGAGGTGGAGGAGCATCGTTAAATTCCTGTTGAGAAGTTCATATTCCATTTACATGCACGAGTTAATAAATATCTATTTTCGAGGATTTCACACAAACCCTCTAAATCATGTAAAATAATCCACTAAAAACTGCAGTGCCTTTGCGAAAGATAATTTTAGGCTCACGGGTTAAATTATTCATAAGTCTTTCCTTTATTCATTCTAATCATGTACATGGGCCAAATAGTCCCAGTTGCATGTTGATCAAGACTCCTGAAAAACTGGTTCCACAGGTAAAGTGTGTAAAGAACTTAACGCTCTTTTATTTGGCCACAAATGATAGCTCATGTGGACATTTATAGCAGCCAAATGCTGTAATCTAAACGCATGTTTCTAAGTGGGGGTGGGGGAACTAAAGGACCCTGAAAAATATTGACTCGACCACAGGGTCGGGATCGAACCCACGGCCTCCTGTATACCAGGCGAGGTGGTTTACTTCTCGCCACCGCGGCACCCCTGACAATATCTCAAACTAGTTTTTTTTTTGGATGCTAAATTTAGCAATCTTTGGAAGGAAGTTGATCAACGAGGTGTAGTGTTGACTGTTGTGTTGACCGACTCTCTGAGTTGCATTACATTTCTAAGTTTTCTAAGTTTGATATATTTTTTCTTTTCTCTCTAACACCTTTTTCCCTCTGTAGGTTTCACCCCCACCCTCTCACCCGTTGCGACAGCTCGCCCCTCCCCCCTCCTCGAATTCGTCGACACTCACCACTTGCAAATTCCATCCCTAGTCCCACCCACTTACCCTACGTTTAACACATTCCTGCGGAGGGAGCTGGTAGGAATGTTGGGTTGCTCGGTCAATGGCCAGGGTCACCGGCGGCGTGGTGTATTCCGCAAATATACCCGACTGTGAGGGCGGTCACAAGCCGGCGTGAGTAGGTTAAACGTTGAGCTTTATAAGGGCACCACGGGGTGACCAGCCCCTCCCCACCCAGCCCCACCCCTCCCACCCCCCACCCAGCCCCACCCTCCCCATCCAGCCCCTCCCCACCCTCCCCACCCAGCCCCTCCCCACCCTCCTCCCTCCAACCCAGCCCCACCCCTCTCATTTTTGGATGCACGACGGACGGACACAATAATGCCCTGTGGACAGGTGTAATGTGGGGGTCGCTAGCCCCCGAAATCCCTCCCTCGATAATGCTAACGGCCGGGCTAGCATCATCAATCGCCCCCCCGCTGCTAAGCGAACCGCTGCTAAGTTCCTCACCCATGGTGTGGGAGCCGTCGCCCGAGGGTTCCACTCCACCGCGGGTCCGCGTAGCAGGCATGGTTAATTACGTACGCGCACACCCACACACACAGCTCTGTACGGCACTCACTCTTGCGCTTCTCTGCGCCGCGCTGGCCGCTCACGTTACAATCGCGCACCTG